AATTTTATTATCTTTATCAATAATTGTTATATCTGGCCTATTATGAGATACAGTTCTATCGGTTAAGAGTCCTCGGTCCCAGTATATTCGAGCTGAACTATTTTCCAAAATTTTTATTATTATTATTATTATTATTATTATTATTATTATTATTATTATTATTATTATTATTATTATTATTATTATTATTATTATTATTATTATTATTATTATTATTATTATTATTATTATTATTATTATTATTATTATTATTATTATTATTATTATTATTATTATTATTATTATTATTATTATTATTATTATTATTATTATTATTATTATTATTATTATTATTATTATTATTATTATTATTATTATTATTATTATTATTATTATTATTATTATTATTATTATTATTACTATTATTATTATTATTATTATTATTATTATTATTATTATTATTATTATTATTATTATTATTATTATTATTATTATTATTATTATTATTATGTCATTCGTAAATTTTAATAAAAATAACAATTCACAACCGACAGAATATACATTTTTTTTCACCTGTCCTTCTCAATAATTATACTGTCACGTTGAGCGTGTCTTTAATAAAGAAATGTCACGTTTTACGTGTTTTAAATAATTATGGGGCTATCTGTGTCTCGGAGGTTATCAAGAAAAAAATATAAATTCGGACCTAAATCATGCAAGAACTCCAAATTTGACGTAATTTAGAAGTAAAAACCGCATGTGGTCCATATTTGGCTTTCCAGACATGGGAGGCAACCTTACGACCCGAACGCGGTGAATATTTGGCTAGCCGAGCATAGGAGGTTTTCGCAAATGCCTGTAGTTAAAAAGAAAGGTCAACAGATCCGTGAAACAAACAATATGACTGCTTAATACCACGCACTAACAAGGCGTGGCGTCACAAAGTAGGGCGGGGTATACGAACCTTATGACGATACTAAAAGTGTCCGCACTTTTGCAATACTTTTACGTCATATGTCAAAAATTTTAAGCATAAAAGTATTTTTGAGGTTATGCTGTTTGTTTATTTGCAATTTTAAACAATTTAGTTTTACGAGTGTAATTTATATTTTGTTTTTTGTTCCAGTATCTAAGACTTTTCTAGAATAAGACGTTTTGTACCCAACTGTAAGCACGGCAACAATAGTTTAATTTATTTATTTATAAAACACTTTATTTATAATTAATTTATATAATATTTATGCAATATTACAACTCACAATTTTAATTTATTTATTACAATTTATCTTTTCTATACAGCACTTAACGATGACTGGTCCGTGTTCTTCCACCAATACTCATTGAAAATTCTGGTGAAAATCTAGAATGCTCCCGCCAAAACTAGAAACATTATTACGTTCGATCTGGAAAGTAATCGAAAGCGCCTTCGCTATAGTCCTCATATATGTTTGGTCTGTGTATGATAATCGGACAATTTGAGCCTCAAAGGCCAAATAAGACAGAGAGGGACTTGAAGGATTAGAACATGACTGAATAATGAAATGGCTCACATTACAGTACTATACACTGAGCAAACAAATTGTAAATTTTTTTGTTTCCTACAAAAGACATAAACGTTTCAAAAACAGAAAACTGTGTAAATTGATGCAATGTCATCAGAAGAGATCTCACCGAAACAAAATTTAAATATATCCGAGTGTGTCGTGTAAACTAAAGTAACTTGATTAGGTTGACTCTTATTTAAAACCATCCAATTTAAGCGATGACAGGGTTGCATCAAGAAATGGACTCTTATGGTTATGATATAAAGTACCTAACTTTAAACAGATCTTAGATTGCAGTTGACAGTCAAGAAAGATCATTAGACTAGAAGATATTTCAGAAGTAAGACAATTTTATTTGAACAAGGATAATTTCCTGATCGTAGTACAATTTTATAGGAATAATTGTTTAATTTTGTAGATTGTCCTTAATGAATTTTAAGTTATAGAAATATGCCTTATCATTTAAAAATGCTAGAGGTTCTGATAAACAGTGTTAGACTGATGTAACGGTGAGGATTTTACTTAATGACGGTATCGCTTGCATCTACAAAAGGAAGCTAAACTTACATTGCAGTGTTATTTTAAAGACGATATAAAAAATAAATATTGCACTGGCCTTATATTCTAGATATTATTAGATTTATTTTGCCAAAATTTTAATTTTTTAACATAATTACTTTTTGAAATAACACTGCCCGAAAATTATAAGGGGTGCTGTATCCACCTTAATAAGGATTTTTCTAGGATTCTTACATTTGCAAAATCGAAAGATGCAAATTTTATAATGTATGTGTTAAGGCAGTACAAATATTATTTTTTTTTTTTTCTTTTGTGTCACTCTTATTTTGTTTGTCCTATGTAAGTTACAGCATTTGCAGTCAATTTTATAAGCTACATTTGGTCGATTTGCTTTCTTGATCTAAGATTTAAAATTTGAAAATAACAGTTTTGTTGTTTTGTTTGGTTTATCAGCAATTTGTTCGTTATATCTAGAGAACATTTTAGGCTCTTTTTCTGAAAGTCCTTTTATCTACAATATAGTAATGAAACAATAATTATTATTAATTTTATTATTATTATTGATGGTACTAATATTATTATAAGTAGTAATATTACCATTATTATTATTTGATTTGATTTGATTAATTCTTTTTTAAGCTATTGCATAGCTTTTATCGCGGGCTTTGAGCGCGGCGACCGAATCAAGAAATTCCGTAACGAAAATAAACTTAACACCCCCCACTCCGATCGTCACAGCGGTGTGGCGTTAAATAATATTAACTTCTCATTTATTCAATAAAATCGAAAAATCGAAAAATCGAAAAATCGAAAAATCGAAAAATCGAAAAATCGAAAAATCGAAAAATCGAAAAATCGAAAAATCGAAAAATCGAAAAATCGAAAAATCGAAAAATCGAAAAATCGAAAAATCGAAAAATCGAAAAATCGAAAAATCGAAAAATCGAAAAATCGAAAAATCGAAAAATCGAAAAATCTAAAAATCTAAAAATCGAAAAATCGAAAAATCGAAAAATCGAAAAATCGAAAAATCGAAAAATCGAAAAATCGAAAAATCGAAAAATCGAAAAATCGAAAAATCGAAAAATCGAAAAATCGAAAAATCGAAAAATCGAAAAATCGAAAAAGATATTCCGTAACGAAAATAAAAACCTAACACCCCTTAATCCGACCGGCACAGCGGTGCGGCGTTGAAAGCCGTGCATCGTCCAACGTCGTTTCAGTTCGGCACGCGACTAGACGTATGCGTGTAGACTAGCTGCTAACTGCTGATAACTGATTCTATTTCTTTTAGATACAATTTCGGAAACATTGAATTTGAAAATGAATAATGATCCACAAGAATCCACAACAAAATATGGGACCACCATTGACGCGGTATTTTCCAGATATTTAGAGGATATCCAGTCTGAAACTTATGTTTCTTATTTCAGTTACCATAAACCTATAGTTTTAATGACAAAAATTCCTGAATAACCTACATGTATTGTAAGATAATAAAAATATTTTAAACAATATTAACTTCTCATTTATTCAATAAAAGAAAAAAATTTGTTTTCTTATCGGTCACCACGCTCAAAAAGTGTAACTTGAATTAATATCAAAGAAAAAAAATACTGCATAAATAAAATAAATAAATAATTATAATTGCATAAGTTGATAAAAATGCTATGCAATAGCTTTACCGCGGCAGTCCCCGAGTGCCACACGTATTTTTATTTAATATATTATAAAATTCAATCGGGTAGTTAGATTTTTTTTTACAAATTTTCAATATGGTAGATATTCTGGATTTAAAAATGTAAATACTCTATCAGTAAGACTAAAAACAACACTTTTTTATATGCCATTGGTGAAATTGTATTAAAATTTAAACAGGTACCTTATCGGCCAGACTTGTTTGATAAACCAGTTTGTATTTATTTTACCATCTTCATCATATTTAATTGTGAGGTCTTAAAAAGTTGATAGGTAGGACTATTATTATTTTCTATCTCATGTGCAAATTGAGAAAAGTAGGTATTTAATTTTTTGTAAAGCATATAAAAGTCAATCAACAACGTATCGTATTTTAGAATTTATTGTTTGTTTACAATAGTTATTTATGATATAAATGCTAAAAGTAATATTTTATTTTGTGAGAAGGGCAGTCTGGAACACGACGCCGAAGGCGGAGTGTTCCATCCCTTCAAACAAAATAAAATCACTTTTAGCACGTATATCGTACACTATTTTTTCTACAAACACCATTAAAAGTCCAAATTAACGCATACCTATTTTTCATTAATTAATTGATAAAATAATAGCCTCGAGATTATCAGTTTTGAATCCAATTTCATCTAATCTATTCATGAAACAAGTTGCCAAGGTAAACAAAAACCGAATTTGTTGATTTGTCTTTGTTGACAACTAACGTCAATAAATCACGAATTATTCTTTTTTTTGTTTCTTCGTTCCTCGATGGAAAGTTATCAAGAAAATGAATTTCTACCGCCGAAAATTGAAGAAGCTGCTTTTAGCACTAGTGCTACAAGTGATTTACTTTTAACACCAGTAGTGTCATAAAATGGCATTTTAGACACTGACAGCATGCGTTAAAAATTATACTTTTATTAACGTTTGTAGATAAAAGTAATTAAATTAATTTTTTGTTTTATTATTAAGCAGTTCTAATTTTTGTTTACGATTAATTGGTGATTATATTAACAACTTTATTTCTAATTTATCCGTTCATTTCTCCTGCCTGGTCCTTTTGATCCTCCTCTCCTCTACATCGAAATATAATATGCCATGCATTGATATTGATTTTGTTTTAAATTTATTGATATGTAATTCATCAAGTTAAGTTCGATACAATCAAGAATTAAAAAAAAATGGTTATACCATAGTAATAATATTACAACTAAAATTAAGTAATATATCCGTATCATGAGCCCAATAAAATTATACAAGACTTACCTAATTTGTAATGTAAACAAACTTATAAACAAGTTTCAAATCGTGCGCGAAATCGACTAACCACTGACGCACCGATGACGACAGATAGCAGGCGAAAGGTTGTTCGAATGCTACGGTTTTGCTGTTGCGGTTGGAATGTAAGTCTACAACTGAATACAACAAATTCACCTACAGATGAAAGTATGAAGAACTAAATAGTTAATGGGAGCTCAAAATTATTCTAAATTATTTATTCACTTCGCGTTTCCTTGACAGGATTCATTAAAGCATCGTTGCACACAGGTTTGGAAGGAGAGTGCTAGAATCATTGACTCCAGCTGCATTTTATCTGAATCCAACTGTTATTAATATCGGGAGTAGGGTTGCTAGGTCAAAAAAATATAAATTTAATGGTCCTTATCACCGAATATGTGTCCTAAATGCTAACAAAATTAATGGAAAAGATTTGGAACGAAATCTAATTTATAAATTCGATATAGCCCAGAATTTAGAGAGCCATAAGACGAACTGAGAAATTTCCCGGTGGGCCGGCTGTTCAGAGGCCCGCAGGGCCAGTAGCTGAAAGTACGTCTAAGTGATCTACTAACCTATCATCATAAACATGTACTTGCCGAAAATAAAGAACTGGACTGGATTTTTCATTTTCTTAAGAAATGTTTGTACATTTTTTTCTGTATTTTAATCAGCAAAAAATTGAGTTATTATATTTCTTCTTCCGACTCCATAAATAACTCTCAAACTTTTATGTTTTAGTCACTATGAAAGTTATTTTAAAAAGCCAAATTTGTAAGACATTCAAAATTTTTTTAATTGAGTTTTTTAATCGCGAAAAACCATTCAAAATGAAAAATGGCACAATAATGAACTTGCTAACATATATTGAAAAAACTTTTATAAACTATTTTTTAAAAACCTAATTTATTTAAAAATGTAAAATGTCAAGAGACCGTTTATTGTCTGTTTGCATTGGTATTTGTTGCTTTGGCTTTTTGAATAGATAGAGCGGTGTTTTTCAAACTTTCTTGGCGACGGAACCATTTTGAAAAGCGAAATATTTGACGGAGCCCTAAATACATTTCTAAAAAAAAAGTCCTCAAGCCAAGTCCTCCCTTTTGTGGCGATAGTACTGCTTCACTTTTGTTTTCATCGCGGAGGCTCCACAATACCTTTACGGAGCCCCAGGGCTCCGCGGAGCACACGTTAAGAAACACGGAAGTAGAAGATATTGTAGTATTGCTAAACTATGGATGCTTTTCTACTCTCAGACAATCAATTATTTTAAAATATTATTTTGTGTATTGTAGAATATTTTTCGGTTTCTTTGTCTCAACTTCGCGCGTTAGTGTTTACAATATGTATCCATCCCTCGTATCTACCTACATGAATGGGCGTCGTTTGGGGGGGCAAGGGGGGCAGTTGCCCCCCCCCCTGGCTTTTAGCGACTTAATCAACAACGCGTAAGATATGCCTTACGAACAACAATCTCATATAGAAATAATAATATTCAGGCTAATATAGTTGAAGAATATTACAGGTTGAATATATTTATTGCATATCTGGATTCCCTTATTACGTCGCTTACATCACGCTTTTCCGAAGACTCTGTTAGTTTGTCCTTAAGCCTGTTACATCCCAAAGGCATAAAAACAATACTTTTTCACTACCAATTAGAAAATGAAAGTAGTGGAAAAATTTGGAATCGACAATTTTGAAGCTGAATACCAAACTGGAGTACGAAAGAGCTTTCTACACACAATGAACTCTCCATTAATGATATAGCATCCAAACATTGTGAATTTTATCCAGACATACAAAGTGGTTTAAAAAATATTTATGGCTCTTCCACCAACGACAGAGTTAATCGAAAGAACGTTTAGCTAAGGCATGTTAAAACATGGCTACAATCTATTCGAACAGTGCGAAGTCATTGTAGGGAAAGCAAAAGCGATACTAGCGCAAGCTGCGGATAATTCGAGTACTTTAGGGGGATATTTTGTAATTTTGGCGTATTAAATACACGTATACATTTTAATTTTTACTAAAAAATAGGTTAAAAACAATAAAATGAGCAACCGGAGTTGCTATGTTACAAATTATACTAGCAAAAAAACTGAGTATTATATAAATTTTCAGTAGCAAAATAGAAATTAAATCAAAAAAATTAAATAGACAGCTGTATAATAAGAAAAAAACCTTTATTTTTGTAATAATAACAATAATACTGGAAATAATAGACATCAGAAAAGGTTTTAAATAAACAATAAATTATTATTTTATGATATTCTTCAACATCCCCTAAGTCTTAAATGTTTAGCAAATGATTAGATTTCTGCCTTTAATTATTGTATATGGCTGAAATGTAATCTTGTGACTTATTGATAGGAAACCAGTTTTAATCATTAATTTCTATGGGTTCTTTCGACCTAAAAATGAAGAAAATATAAATTACAATCGCAAATATACCAATTATTTTTGTTAATACGTTTTAATTCTACGTTAATATATAATAGTAGTGTTTTTATTTTGACAATATTTAACCTATTCTTCAATGACAACTTATTAGGCTTAGGCAAGATCTCATACATTTTCTCGTAAATACTAACCTAATGTTTTATTATTGATTTGTATTGATTATACTACTTTTTTTTAGCTGAAGTAATAAAAATATATAATAATAATAATATTAATAATTTTTTCACTTGTTTTATAAATCTATATACTTTTATTTTTTCTTTTTTTGTTGGGTCATTTTATTTATTAGAGACTTGTTATGACAATTTAAGTATCAGTTCTGTCAAATAGGTCAGTGACATTGTTAGGGTTACTACTACAGTACGCTAGTTCAGTGATGATGTAATTATGGTTCCACTTACAAAGCGACAATAGATTTTTTGAGTGCGTTTTGTTCGTTTTGTTTACCTAAATTATATCGTTTTTTCACTTTTATAAATATATTCCTAAAGTAAGTAGATAACATGCGTCAAATATACAATCGTTTAGTTACCAATTACATACCTTTAAACTATTTTTTATGACCTGTAAACAATATTTAGAAATAAACTAAAAACAGTAAAAACTTATATGTCAAATTTATTGATGTTTTTGTTAAAAGTTTGGTTAGAATTAAATGTCAGTGGAACCAAAATGACATCACACTGAACTAGCGCGTTCCACTCCCCCTTAGCTTCGCTAAGTGAGATATCAGATTAATTTTGTTCTGTTTGAAAGACTTTCTTATGATGGATTCAATTGTTCTGTGACGTCATGGCTTACTTCCGATTTTTCCGAAAATAACAGATTTTTTTTTATTTTTAAAAGGAAACCCTCTTTTTTATTGTAAATTTAAATTTCTGGGACATTTTTGTATAATAATCGTGTATTGACAGTTTTCTGTCTATGTTACTATTAATTCGTTTATGGAAAAACATATAGGAATGTACAAACTTCATAAAATCTTTTTAGGCTTCAAAATTCCCATTGAGACCCATTTACCTTATACCAGTGGCGTATCTATCAGCATTTTTATTATTAGCAAACCGTTTAATAATTCTATCCGCTTTTATCTTCGTTGTTAATTGAGATATTGGAATGAAAACTTATTTGATTAAAAGCTTGGGATAAATACTCTCATGTACTGGATTCAATTGGTGTGTGACTTCATAGCTTACTTCTGTTTTATCGGAAATAACAAAATCTTAATGTATTTTTAACTTTTAAATAGAAACCTCCGTTTTTATTGAACATTTGAATTTTAGAGACATTTATATGGATAAGAATCATGTGTTGAAAATTTTTTGTCAGCTGTCAAAATGATCATCATATTTTTTAATAAGAAAAAGGGTTTTCATTTAATAATAAAAAATAAATTGTAATTTTCTGTTATTTTTGGAAAAACCGGAAGTAAGCCATGACGTCACAGAATAATTAAATCCATCATAAGAAAATTCTCTTTCATGTTTCATTTTCTTTGTTTTCCTATAAATAAACATACTAAATTTTTTCAAAATTTTTCCCCCCCCTATAGAATTGTGTAACGACGCCCATGCCTACATGCAATTGTTAAAATTATGAATGAATGCTGATTTTGTTTAGTCTCGGAAGTAATTTTGTAGTATTTAGGCACACAGGGCCGCCGAGAGCCAGATCGGGCCCCAGAACAATTTTAAAAAAGTCTTCCAGCAAAAACGTCTCCTCCTCTTTAGTGAAATCTCTAAAAAAATAAAAAGCTCGTCACCAGCAAAAGAAATAACCAGAAAGAATATCGCTGGAAGGAACATGCTCATCTATACAGATAACATACAAGCACTACTCACCCTGAACAGACCACGAATTTATTCAGGGTTAGTACTAGCATGTCACGAAGCTTTGGCCGAAGTATCCATCAACAATGTGATCACCTTAAGATGGATTAAAGGTCACGCCACATCGAAAGGTAACCGTCTTGCTGATTCACTAGCCAAGAAAGCAGCCAACCAAATACTTTTTGGACCTGGCCCTTCTATTGGCCTGACAAAATCGGTAGTCACAGACCTAATCAAAGAGCATTCCCTTGTGAAATTCAAGGAAAGATGAGATGACACAAGAAACTGCAGAGTTGCCAGGGAGCTCTTAAGTAATCCTGACAATACTGCAGCAAACAAATACTTGACTATGACTAGACAAAAACTGAGTCCAGTCACAGGCACTCTGACTGGTCATTGCCAAGTACGAAAGCATCTCCATATCATAGGGCTGTCAGAACCCGCATTCCGCAGAGGGTGCAAACAAGAAGATGATCCCATCAAGCATATTCTATACGATTGCAGTATCAGCTAACACCGGCCAATATAAGAGAAGCACCTCTTGGCGATATTGTCAACTACATTAAATCTGTAGGCTGGCTCACGAGCTAGGAGGTGCCTATCATCTCAGGAGAAGGCACAATGAGCTTAATGAGGCCTAAGTGCCGTGGGATAACCCACCCTCCACACGTTACATATACAGATACTGTTTAGTTTTAGAATTTCTTTACAGTTTTGACACAAGCCTACTCTACATTAATTATAATTATTGTTAGTTTTGTTATGTCAAATCATTTATACTAGATGTGTAAGGTAAAGACAGTGAACTGTGGAACGCCAATATCGTTGGGTGCGCGTGGTAGAAATGGTCCTCTAATGCTGCTAAAAACATAGCTAAATTTTTATGAAAACACTGTACTTTTGACGTTTGCAATACTCCGACGCATACGCATTATTGATGTAATCTCACGATTTTACAGTACTAGTTTTTGCAATTTTAGTGTGATTTTGAGGTTATTACGGTTAT